GGAAATATTAGCCTTAAAAGAATATTATCCTTGAAACAGGAGATACTTCCATTTACAATAATGAAGCCAGATTTCAAGATAGGTAGTTAGTGTAGCTAGGTAAATCAGGTCTGATATACAGTTTAATAGAGAAAAATAGATTCCCATCTGAGTCTGGGAAATCAGAAACTATACCTGGGAGATTGAAATGTTAATGTCCCCAAGCCCTCCGCCCCCACACACAAAGAACTATTAATGAGGCAGCTCCCAGCAGATAGGGAGGTGCTAATCAATTCCACCTGCCTTCCCACCTGCCTTCCCACTTGCCTCCCTCATCATATGCCAGATAAAGGAAAATAAGCAAGATAAAGGACAGGCATAAAGACCTTAGATATAAAAAGGGATGAGACCTTCTCAACCCAGGGATTCTGCCTTTAAGGTCCCTTTCTTCCTGGGTGGGCGGTGGGGGGAGGTCTTCTCTGCTGTCCTTTAGTAAAGCCTTTTACTTTCCACTCTGCACTTGCCTTGGTGTGCTTCTCGGGTGTTATACTTCAACATTCGGGAATCAAGGACTTGTCAAGGTAAGTATCAATAACATGGATCAGCCTGAAGAGCTTTAGGCTAAGAAAACATTATGTTAAGACCCTGGAGAATATTATGTTAAGGCACAGAAAGACAACGGCTGCATGTTCTCATGTACATAGGGGAACTAAAATAGTCAAACTCTTAGAAGCATGGAGTGGTTCCAGGGCCTCCGGGGAGGGAAAAATGTTAGTCGATGGTACCAAAAGTTTCATATATATCAGATTAATGAGCTTGGAGGTTTAATATTCATGGTGACTATAATTAACAATGTTGTGTTGCACCCTTCCTTGAAATTTCTAAGGTGGTACATCTTAAGTGTCCTCACCACAGGCACACACAAAAGGTAACTGTGAGATGACGAGTATGTTGATAAGCTTGAGTGTGGTGGTCATTTCATCATCAAATCACACACTTGAAATATATGCAATTTCTAGCCCAGCCACGATGGAAATCAGTATGGAAGCTCCTCAAAAGACTAGGTATGGAATCACCAGGTGACCCAGTTAATGCCACTTCTCAATTTTCTCCTGAAGAATTGAAGTCATCTTAATACAGTGAAACATGCATACCTATTTTTAAAACAGCACAATTCACAACAGCCAAACTACAGAACCAGCCTAGGTCCCTCGATGGATGAATAAATAAAGGAAATGTGGCATATATACACATTGGAGTTTAATTCAGCCATAAAGAAAAATGAAATCATGGCATTTGCAGGAAAATGCATATAACTAGAGACCATTCGGTTAAGTGATATAAATCGAACTCAGAAGTTTAAGGGTTGTATGTTTTCTTTCATGCAGAAGCTAGAGAGGAAAAGGGAAAACAAAGTTGGTGTATATATACTAAAAATCAAAGAGAGATCAGTAAAGGAAAGGGACTTCAGGTGATGCGGGGGCAGGGAGCAAGTGCTGGGGAATAATACTGGCCAAATTATATTGATGATATATTGTGTGTATATATGAATATGTAACAACCAGTCACAATATGTACAACCGTAGTGCACCAATAAAAAATATAGAGGAAAAAAAAACAAAATGCTATCCTTTTGGGAATACATATATAAAATAAATTTTATTTTTGGATTTCTACTGTTTTGAACAAAATCAAATGTATTTATCAGAAAACAAATCTTTTCTTTGTCTCTCTTTCCCAGTCTTTTGATTTGTTTTTCAAAATAATTATTAAGTTGTTAAAAATCACAGGTAGGATTTGCTTTGACTACAAAGTGCACATGAAAATTTGCTTTTGCCTGTCCCTTTATGCCCCTAAATCCCTATGTCTATTCATCTATTTGGCACATCTGTAGTCTCTTGAGCCCCATGTCAGCATCTCAAAACAGGGGGCCAGTCCTATTTTAGTTGAGAGAATTCAAACATCCTCCTGGCTCCAGTAACTTGTCACCAAGCCACGCTTGCTGTTACACCTTCCCAGTAAAACAATGGGACTTCTCTTCTGTTCATGCAACCATGCAACGAAGTCCCCCTTTCATCCCAGTTCTATTACTACTACCTTTGTTTTGACAATCTTGTTTGACTGCCCTGCTTTTACAAGCCAAGACTCTGCCTTATCTCCCCAGAGGATTCTGAAATCCCCTGTGGGCACCAGCACCCACTGCCAGCCTTCCCAGGGACTAACAGCTAGTTTCTTCCTCTCCACGCAGCCTCTCCTCAACCTGCAGTGCCCTTGCTCACCACGTGGCCTGGACTCTGCCAGCTTGCCCTTTCCCCCTCATTCCAATAGGGTTTGGTGAATGGATTCCCTTGTGTAATTTCCATCCTCCCCACTCTTTGATTTCTGCCATCAGCACCTCCACTGAGAGCTCATCCAATTCTTAAATCATCTATTACCTCTGTTTTCACCAAGACCAAAAGACTCAAATCCATTATAATACGAGTTTTTAAAAGAGCACTCTCTTCCACCTTTAGCTAACTTAGCCTCTTTGGTCCCGCTTTCTTTATCTATAAAGTGGGACAAATCATATGTCTCTGGATTGTTGAGAAGGAAAAAGAGGACTCACCAAAGTCATGTGCCATGGTATTTAGTACACAGCTGGCATTCAATAAGCCTTTGCTACAGGAGGATTGGGGAATATGTTACCATTTCTTTATAGCTACTGTCTTAGTCCATTCGTGCTGTTATTACAAAATACCTGAGACTAGATAGTTTAAAAACAACTGAAATTTATTTCTTTCTTACAGCTTTGGAGACTGACAACTCCAAGATCATGACATTGTGTTGGTGTCATGACATCATGTAGCTGTATCCTCACGTGGCAGAATGCAAAAGGGCAAGAAATAAAACAAAACAAAAACACCAGTTCTCTCTTTGGAGCACATTGACAAGGCACTATTCCTGTCCATGAAAATGGATCCCTCAGGTGCTAGTCACCTCCTAAGGGCTCCTACTGCACTGGGGATTGAATCTCAACATACATTTTGGAGGGGACACAAACATTTCAATGTAGCGCCTGTGTTTATCTTTCTCCAACCAGAGGAGAAACTATGGATCAAGTCCACAAAATAAATTAATCAGAATCAGAGAGCCAAAGAACATTCTGATATGTAACTTCTCCTACTCAGGCACCTGGGCCTTATACAGCCTGAGAGAGAGGCTTTTAAACATAAAACATACAGCAGATATTTTTCTGCAATCTCTCATGGCTGGGCCATGACAGGTTGAAACTGAAAAGCAGGGTAGCAGTCCAAGCCTGTCTAGGGGCCGTTCCTCATGCTCTCGTTTTTCCTCCTCCTGCAAACATGTCCCACCCTCTCCAGTTCCCGGTAGCTATCTGTGACCCTCACCAAGGTTCTCTCCTGCCAGTGAGAAACCACTTTCAAATTATCTGTTTCTCCAGCTTCCCTACATCTCCATCTAGTCTTTGAAGTTCTATTTTCCAATCGGATTGATTGTACCTTCAAGTAGTGACAGGTGAATCATGTTCCAGTGTTAAAAACTACCTGGGGGAACCTTCAGATTTACTTCTTCTGGTCTATTTCTAATCTAATTATTGACAGAACTGTAATCCAAAGAAATAGTGATGGGATTCTAGCTGTTATGTCAGGAAGGTAGGAGAATTATTTGAAGATAAGAATGGATTTCTCAGAATGTCCCTTGGGTCATGAGAAGAAAGCCTGTTTGTCCTCTGTCCCCACTGTCACACAACAAAGCCATCTTTTTCAACAGCACATAATATTTTAGGAAAGATCAGGAACATGTAAACCTGAACAAGGGTGGTGGCACCCAAGCTGGCCTGCCCAGCCCCAGGCTGCACCAAAGCAATATTGCCGCCAGATGACACCCATCTGGAGATCTTTCTGTGGGAAGGGAACATGGGGGTGACAGACAGGAGGCTGAGGGAAGGAAGGGAAGAATACAGGAGACCCCTTCCAGTGTGCTAGGCCTCCCAACCAACACCACACACATCATGGAGAACGGTGGGTGAATGGTGACCCCTAATGGAAAAACTCCTCAATCACAGGGGCTTAGGAAACAGCCCTGCCAGCGTCTCTACCACACAACCCACAGCACCATTAGTGATCGGGTACTTTGGATCTGCCTTTGCAGCTGTTCATTGCCACCTGCACACCTGCATCCTGGTTGTGTGCCCACGTGGTCTACACCCCTGGGATATAGACATTCAATCTAGAAGCAGAGTGGCTCAGCTACAGAAGCCCTTCCTATGGACTTAGGATCTCTCTCTCTCTCTCTCTCTCTCTCTCTCTCTCTCTCTCTCCCTCCCTCCCTCCCTCCCTCCCTCCCTCCCTCTTCATTCTGCGCTTCCAAGCTTCCAAGGTACTACCCAACACTTAGCCTGGAGCTTGTGCCTCCTCATTCCACTCCCTGCTCTAGGAATGACCTCAGAGCCAGTTCTGACTTGTGGCTTTATGGGACAATATTCAGGAATCCCTCCCCTGCAGATCCAGACCTTGCTCTTTTGGGAGGTCTTACTGTCTTAAAGATAAGCTTGAGTTTGAGGTGTAAGGAGTTGAGATAAGTATGAGTAATGAGAATGGAGATGTCATCAGAAAAATAAAATAGGAGTTTATTCTAGGGGTGTGAAGGGGAGGCTACACACTCAGCAATTCCGCCCATGCCTTTATTGAGCTTCCAGAGTTTCTCCAGGTTTCTCACTTTTGGGATTGATACCGCATTATCATGCAATATGCTTTTTATGTATGCAAACTATGGAAAGAACAACTATTGCTAGTTGATTGAGGTTTAGGTGAAATAAGAGCCTTCCCCAACACACACAAGTGTTCACACTCAAGCCCTCTAGAAGCTGGGATGAGATTGCTGTGCTGTTTAAGCAGAGAAAGTCAAATGGTAAATCAGCAGGAGATTCCACTTGTGGTTAGATCAAGAAGGGAGGGTGAAGGCGAGGAGGAAGCAGGCAGAAGAGATCCTAGAAACCAGGGTGTCTGTGTGTGTGGTTTTTATTCAAAGGCCCCAGGAGGGTTTCTCACTGTGTCTTTGCTGCAGGTACAGAACAGGACTCTTCCCTGGGTGACGTTGGTCACGTGCAGCCTCAGCTCCGTGTCACTGACCCGTGTGGCCAGGTAATTGGCTCCTGGAAGGGATATAGCCTCCTTGTCCCCAGGGCTTCCCAGAGTGGCCAGCCACTGAAACTGCTGCTGGAGATCCTGTTGGTACCAGCTCATCCAGGGGTACTGGGAATTCCTCAGGATGCAGCGCAGAGTCTCAGCTTGTCCACGTGGTACCAGAACCCACCTGGGCCTTTGCTCCACCAGGCTTGCAGAGGGGTCTGGAACACAAAGGCTGGTGGAAGCGAAGGCACAGACAGTGGTTGCAGGGGGGTAACAAATTGAGCTCATTTCTGGGGAGGGAGTCCATGAGTGACACTGACAGGAGGCTGCAGGGAGCAGAAGGGACACTTGCCAGGGGAGAGGCTGTCCCTAGGGCATTGTCCAAGACTGGGATTAGGGAGCACCTTCTCTGCCTATGGTGCTCTAGTGCTTCATCTCTCTCTTCCTCCCTCAACCCACCGAGTGGCCTCCCCCGCTTGTCATCAGACCTGCACTCAGGTCTGCAGCCAGGAGCACCCAGACGCACACAATGGAAAATGGCCCCATCCCCTGGCCCCTCTGGCTCTCTCCTGAAGGCTGTGAGACAAAGCAGGATCTCGCCTATAAGACAGCAATCAGAGGCTGGGTCTATTGGCCTGAGGTGCCAAAGGGCGTGGCTTCTTCAGGAAACCAAATATGTTGTCTCCTTTCTCTGAAGCACAAAGTTCTAACAAAAGGCTTCTGTGATTTCCTGCTTCCTGAGCTTCCCCATGCACTCCCACCCTCCCCCTGCACTCCCCATATTCCTGAAGACCTCTTTGAAGGGAGGCCTGGCACCCTCTCCTGCACCCCAAGATACCTGGAGGTAGTTGGAATCCAAGCCTCAGATCGTTGCAAGGGATCAAAATATCTCAACACAACCAAATGAGGCTTATAGAACTGAGCCATCATCCCTGGCCCACATGCTCCACTTACGCTGGAGGCTGTTACAGGGCCACACTGAGGCATGACCATGTATGGCAAGTGTATGATAATGGTCACCCATCACCAATGATCTGTGCCTGACTCTGTGAGGACCAATACAAATTCCGTGGAGAAAAAAGGGAAGACTCCTTCCTTACCCTCCCTTTTCTTTTTTTGAATTCTTTTTAGATGTTGATGGACCTTTATTTTATTCATTTATTTATATGCAGTGCTGAGAATCGAACCCAGTGCCTCACACACGCTAGGCAAGTGCTCTACCACTGAGCCACAACCCCAGCCCACTTATCCTCCCTTTTCTTGAAGCATTTTCATTAGAGAACTTGGAATGATAAATTCCCCCTGTCTGTTTGGAATGTTTGAAAATCTTTCGAAAAGCTCAGTTAAACCCCTTGCTAGCTTTAAAACCCAAGAATGACATCTTCTCGAGGACCATTTCTTTGAAATTTAATCCTCAGGGTTAAGGTTGGCGCCCCTATCTCCCAGGTCCCAAGGAAGTAGCAGCCTTCTATTGGGAACCTGGCTTAACTCAGGTAGAAACCTAACTTAATTTAGCAAAGAGCCTAGTGCAGAAGTCCAAATTAAGTAAAAACCTTATTTCAAGTTGCAAAACTACTTTCTGTTGTAAAGATATAGGAAATTTTTTATTTGGTTGGGGGCAACATGGATGTACTCCAGTTGCCAAGTGAGTCTAAGATGAAGGGTGTCTGACAAATGGGTCTGTGAAGCCCTCCAAGTTCATCTTAAGAATACACTCAGGGTGGGTTATATCCGTCTTTGCAACTTTTTAGTAAATTAAGATTCATGCGCCTTACTTTCCAGTGAAATGCTTATGTACTAATAAAGTTATTTTCTTTTTCTTTTACCTCGTGGGGATTTTTATCACTTATTTAAAATAATATTTAATTATTAAACATACATTTATTAATTTATTAAATATATTTAATCATATTTGATTGATTTATAGTAACTCATGTATATAAATATAACTAATTATATATTTTCCAACTGCTCACTTTGCTGTCTCTCCTGCCTAGTGGCCCTCAGTTTCTTCATCTACAAAAGGGAGATAATATTGAAAACTATTTTGTAAGAGTGAATGCATCGGTACATGAAAATATTCTTTTTTTTTATATCATTTATTTTTTAAAATTTTTTATTGTTGGCTGTTCAAAACATTACATAGTTCTTGATATATCATATTTCACACTTTGATTCAAGTGGGTTATGAGCTCCCATTTTTACCCCATATACAGATTGCAGAATCACATCAGTTACACATCCATTGATTTATATATTGCCATACTAGTGTCTGTTGTGTTCTGCTGCCTTTCCTATCCTCTACTATCCCCCCTCCCCTCCCCTCCCCTCCCCTCTTCTCTCTCTGCCCCCTCTACTGACATTCATTTGTCCCCCTTGTATTATTTTTCCCTTTCCCCTCACTTCCTCTTGTATGTACTTTTGTATAACTCTGAGGGTCTCCTTCCATTTCCATGCAATTTCCCTTCTCTCTCCCTTTCCCTCCCACCTCTCATCTCTGTTTAATGTTAATCTTCTTCTCATGCTCTTCGACCCTACTCTGTTCTTAGTTACTCTCCTTATATCAAAGAAGACATTTGGCATTTGTTTTTTAGGGATTGGCTAGCTTCACTTAGCATAATCTGCTCTAATGCCATCCATTTCCCTGTAAATTCTATGATTTTGTCATTTTTTAATGCAGAGTAATACTCCATTGTGTATAAATGCCACATTTTTTTTTATCCATTCATCTATTGAAGGGCATCTAGGTTGGTTCCACAGTCTTGCTATTGTGAATTGTGCTGCTATGAACATCCATGTAGCAGTGTCCCTGTAGCATGCTCTTTTTAGGTCTTTAGGGAATAGACCGAGAAGGGGAATAGCTGGGTCAAATGGTGGCTCCATTCCCAGCTTTCCAAGAAAAAAAATATGGAACGCTTCACGAATTTGCGTGTCATCCTTGCGCAGGGGCCATGCTAATCTTCTCTGTATCGTTCCAATTTTAGTATATGTGCTGCCGAAGCGAGCACCATGAAAATATTCTTAAAATAGAGCTTGGCACAGGCTAAGCATTCAGTAATAACTGCATTTTATTATTGCAGTGTTAAATTTTAAATCCAATTAAAATATGGTAGAGTTAATGGTAACTTCTGTCTTCAACTGCTTATCACTTAGTAACCAGCTGAAATTGGAAGCACAAGTTCTCTTGACTGTGTATCACTGATAAGAGGCCTCATTGTTTCCAGTTTGAAAACCAACAATCTGGAAAATGCCACTGAAAAGGCCCTGTGTCTGCCCTCTCTCCAGCCTCAGCAACTTGTGGATGACAGTATAGAGACACGGGCCAGTTTAGCCACCGAACTTTACCTTTCAAGACCTGGAACTGCACTGGGTTTTACTCAGTGCCAGCCCCATCACAGACACTGGGTAAAAGAAAAAGGGGACTTGGGTGACCCAGACACCAGGCCCATCTCCCGGGGGACCCTCCAAAATGTGCAGCAATGGCCTAGTGTCCGACAGACAAGGGCCAGAAGAAGGGATTTCCTGGGTCCATAATGGCCGGCTTCCTGCTCTTTCATGAGAACCCTGCCTCTTCCCTGAGAACAGTGCTTCGGCTGGCAGGACAGATTGCAGGATTAGGGATCCTAGGCCCTTCTCCATTTACAGGACCGGCTGTCCTGTCCCCCGTCTTCAGCCTAATCCTCAGATGAGATTGGGATCAGAGTGTCTCCAGTACTCCTGTTATCTCCTCCCTGGTGTTCCTCCTCCTCAAGGTCAGGGCCTCCCCAAGTATGACTTTGTCTTCAGTCTTGGCCACTCTGTTCCCAGCCACACTAAGCCCCTGGCTTCCAGATGGCTGCCTGGATCCCCACTTTCTCTGCCAGGTCCAACGATGGAGATTGTAGCTGCCCCTTGGGGACATTTGTTTTTCTCCCCCACAGCACCTCAGTTGCAAACGGCTTCACCAGCTTTTGAGCTTAATGTGTGATTCAAAGATTATGCAGGCACTGAATGAAGACACACGCAGCTCACCCCAGCGTTCTCCACTCACCGCACACCCTCCATGAGCTGCACTCCTGTGTGGGGATGCATGGCCAGAGTGTGTTGGGCAAGCCCATGGGCACATGTCCTGTCCATTTCCAAGTAGAGAACAGGCAAAGGGGTCGCATGAGGTGAACCACAGCCCTTGGGTGGCTGTGTCAATAACCAGAAGGAAATAAGTCTGGAACTAGAGTGAGACTTTGGACCCTGCCTACAAAGCAGCTAACAAATGACACCAACTCCCTCCATCAGGATGAACCATGGAGGAAGAACATTCAGGGCGGCTCTGCTGTCCTGTGGGGGTCAAGGACCTAAGAAAATAATGAAAAGAGCAAACCCAGGGCCTGCCCCTTGGTGCTCCCATTTCCTTATCTAAAAGTAAATGGATTGGAACTTTTGGAAAATTAAGAGGGTCTGAAGTTTCTTTCCACTCTGTTATTCTAATATTCCCTTTGTGCTGTTATTGTTTATGTAATAAAACAATAAAACCAGTGTGCTCGCACCTGGAGAAATCGGGCCAAGCCTCCCAGGAGAGTCAGTAAAATGTGGCTCTGTTGAGAGGCAGCTCATGGGTGGCAGCCCAAAGGCATGTGCATGTCTGTTTCTCATTTTCTCCCTCTTCTCCCCTCACTCCTTCTCCTTCTTGTTCCTCCCCAGGAATGTGATGAAAATCAAAGCTGCCCTGGACTTGGACTTGCCCACCTGGGAAGCTGATTGTGGTTCTTTCACCTCTAGGTGTCCTTCCTGGGATTAGTAGCAAGGATTCCTGCAGGAGATGCCCAGCAGAGCCCGCCCACCCCTCCCAACAGCTTCCCTCCTCCCTACATGGTACCAAGGACTGAGAGACTAGGTTTACACACACCCCCACTAGTGCCTTAGTCTGCACAGACAAAATGGGAAACACCCATCTAAACTGGGGGTGGAGGGAACATGCCAGAGACAGAGCGCTTAGTAAGGATATCTAAGGATCCAGGATGGGGGAGCGAACCAAGGCAAGGAGAGAGAGGCAGAGAGAGAGAGACAGGAGGGGAAGAAAAGCAGGGAGATGCCAAATCCTCCTTGACTCTGCAGGGTCTCCATGGGCAAGAGACTGACCTGCATTTGGGGTGGGAAACCTGAGTGATTTACTCAGGAGAATTTCATGCTAGGTCCCCTCCAGGGTGAGAGAAACCTACCCTGTGCCCTCTCTGGACATCTGAACTCCAGTTATGCAAGTGGCACCACTCAGAACCCAGAGGATAATCAGATCAGAAGATCCCAGCCTGACCCTCCCTCATGGCATGGTGCCTGGCACAGGTACAGACATATAAGTCCAGAGCTCTTGAGTTTTCATCTTCAGGAGAGATGCTCCAGGTCGCAGGAGCCATGACCTGTGTCCTTCTCTTTAAACTTTTTCTACTTCTGGTCCTGTCAGACACCTGCCCAGGCAGCCACCTCAGCCCCACATCCCGCCTGCGCTATTCCAGGTTCCTAGATCCTTCCAATGTCATTTTCCTGCTCTGGGACTTTGACTTTGAGGCTGAGGTCATCACTTTTGAGCTCCAGGTCCGGACAGCTGGCTGGGTGGGCTTGGGCATCAGCCACCGCCACACT